GCGCGCGGCGGGCGCGGCGGGCGGGGAGGCGGCGCTGCCCCGGGGCACACGCGTCGTGGCGCTGACGCACGTCTGGGATGCCAAGCGCGTCGTGCACAGCCTGGCCGCCTCGTTCTGGTGAGGGGGAATGGTGTGAGGGTGGGGAGGAGGCGAGGGGTGGCCCGTTGCAGCTGCAAAAAGCGTGGCCGCTGGCGGCAGTACGAGCGAGCCGTGTTGCTGGCAAGATTCACATCACCCCAGACCGGGCGGCAGGCAGCGGCTCCGCCTCTTCTGTTTCCGTTTGGGTCCGCCGCCTTCCCATGCCCGCATGCAAGCCGCCATGCTGCCCCTTCACCCCTCCCCAACGCACAGTGGGCAGTGGGCGCTGGGGTGCGACAGCCTCGGGCGGGTGCTGCTGATCGACGTGGCCACGAGCCTGGTGGTGGTCATGCTCAAGGGCTACCGCGCGGCCCAGGCCGCGTGGATGGAGTGGCCGGCGGGGGGGGTCAGGGGGCCCGCCCCAGGGTCCAGCGTCCCCGTCATCTATGCGCCACGCAAGGGGGTGCTGGAGGTCTGGGCCCCAGACCTCCGTACCCGGCTGGCGGTGCTGAGGGGGGTGGGGCCGCGCGGCGTGCTGCTGAGCCCGCGCCCGCGGGGTGCCGCCCTGTGGTTTGCCGACCTGGACGCGCTGCGGTGCGCCGACGTGGCGCCGGCCCTGGTGTCGGCCGCGCCGTGTGGTTGACAAGATGGACGCGGTGCCTTCCAGAGCGGATTTGCAAACGCATTCGACGTGATCCGCTGAAACCTCGTGAAATACGGCAGTGACCGCCAAGGAACACAAAGAGGTCCATGGTATGGATGTGAGGCGTGCTGCGCATGCTGTGAGCACACGAATCACTGCGGGACAGGTCCGCGATCCGGCACATGTCATGATGCGCATTGTCTTCCGTGATTCGACACTCTTGGGCAGCATGTCGATTTCCAGTGAGAATCAGGCGCTACCTGCCAGCGTGCCGACTCTGGGGCTGAAGAGGAAGGCTTTCAAAGCCCCCCTTGCAGTCCGACCCGCAGTGAGCAACATTCCTCCCGCGGCCCGCGAGGATGCGGGCCCCAAGCCCGTTTCTGCGTCAGAGGAGCATTATTACTTCAATGTGTGAGTGCGCATGGCGGCAGCGGGTGCATGCTGCGGGATGCATTCAGCACGGCTGCACATGCGTCATGGGGAACAATCATGCTACAAGTGCACCCCCGCCTGCCCTGCCCCAGACTGTACACCAAGCACAATCCCGGCAAGCTTCGTAAAAACAAGAGCTGGGCCGATGGAGTGCTGGAGATGCGAGCCGGTGGCAGGACCACGCTCTTCGACACCAGTGGGAAGAGTGTGACGCAGACTGTGGCGCGTGGGTATGACCCGCCCAGCATGGGGGAGGGGTCCTCTGTGCTCCTCGGGGGCTGGGAGCTGGAGGTGCAGAACCGCATGGAGGCAGCCGAGTTCAGGTAGAGTGGGGCGAAAGGGTTGCTGTTCCTTTTTATGAGGAACTGAATGGTTCAATTCGATGTGCATGTGGAAAGCTCTGCCATCCCTCGTGTGACGTGGTCGCCAAACATAGTTCAAGTGGCGTGCATGGCGTCACAGGAGCGGGACAGCATTCATAGGCCCATCAGCTGGTGCTGTAGCACCACTGCCCAAGGCGGCCAGCACAACGACATCCTCCACGGGTCTCAAGGGAAGGGCGGCTTTTCGGCCAGTGGTACCGGCCGGGGTTGCTGCGCAGCATGCTGCAGTGCGCAAGGCCCCTGCATGGCTGCACGACCCCATGGCGGAAACTGCCATCGTGCTGAACAGGTGGGACCTGAAGGTGCCTTGCGGTTGAGCAACCTGTCGCAATGCGTCTCGACATGTGTGGCACAGGGCTTGGTTATCCACAGGAGTCGAGGATCTGCCCATGTTTTCGCTTCCCACGAGGACAGCGGCCTTTGCATGCATCCCAGAAGCGCCGGCCTGAGCTCATCAGGTAGCCAGAACCCTCCCTCCCGGTCCCTCGTGCCCAGAGAGCAGTGGATGGGCTCCCAGGAGTCTGGCGCCTCGGGCGTACGGCCTGTGGTGGTCGACCCATACCTGGCCTGCCACCTCCGCCCGCACCAGGTGCTCCAAAAGGGGCATGCCACTCGAGCTTGCAGGGGACTGACAGAGCTGACACGTTACGGACAGACGTCGTCGGTACATGATAGCTAAGGACATGGCCACTGCCTTGCCCGCCTGCCACCCCCTTTTTCAACCCTTGCTGCCAGACCCCCTCCTCACAGGTGGAGGGCGTGCGCTTTCTCTACGAGTGCGTGGTGTCGGGGCCGCCGGGTCAGCGAGGCGCCATCCTGGCGGACGAGATGGGGCTGGGCAAGACCCTGCAGGTCCTGACCCTGCTCTGGACCCTGCTGCGCCAGAACCCGCAGGTGCTTGGTCGGGGAGTCGAGTGGGGTGGCTGTCCCTGGTCCAGGCATGGGGCTGGCTGGCAGGGGCGGCAGGTGCATGGCTGGGAACCTGGGGCACAGGACGGCCCGCCTCCGCCGCTGGGTCCGCCAGCTGCGCTGTGCATCCATGGTCCCTGGACCATCGCCCTCACACCTCCTCTCTGCCACCCACTCTTGCTCCTCACAAAATACTCGCCCCCTTGACCCTGCCCGGTGCCCTCCTCTCAGCCCCCCGCTCCTCGACTCCCCCCCCTCCTCAGGGCTCCAGACCCCTGGTGACCAAGGCCATCGTGGTGGCGCCCACCACCCTGGTGCGCAACTGGGAGGCGGAGGTCCGGCGCTGGCTGGGCCCCGAGCGCTTGCGCCCGCTCTCGCTGGTGGCCGGGCCGGCCCAGGCCGAGCAGGTGCTGGGGTTCGTGCACGGCGCGGCGCACGCGCTGCTCATCACCAGCTACGAGCTGGCGCGGCGGCACGCGGGCGCGCTGGCGGGCGCCGCGCAGCTGCTGGTGTGCGATGAGGGGCACCGCCTGAAGGCGGCGGCGGGGAGCAAGACCATCTCCGCGCTGGGTGCGCTGGGCTGCCCCGCCCGCGTCCTGCTGACGGGGACGCCCGTGCAGAACGCGCCGCGCGAGTTCTTCGCCATGGCCGACTTCGTGCGGCCGGGGGTGCTGGGGGACCTCCCCGCCTTCGAGCGCGTGTTTGGCGGGCCCATCGCCCGCGCCCAGGACCGGGCGGGGACGGAGGAGGACAAGGCGCTGGGCAGGGAGAGGGCCAGGTGCGTGTGCCTGGCGGGTGGGAAGGGGGGCGCTGCATGGCTTGGGATCGGGCGGTCTGGTGGGCAGGGCAAACAGGTTGGGTAGAAGGATGCCATGCAGGCTGGGTGAAGAGCACGCTGCGGGCGGGTGTACCACCCTGGAGAGCTCCCGGAAGGCTGGTGCACATACAGGGGCCGGGGCAGGGCAGGCCAGGTCGGCAGGCCTGCCTGGGGGAGCTCCACCCTCCCCTTCTGCACCCCATCCCTCCCACCATCAGCCCCTCATGCACGCCCCCAAACGGCCACACACTCAACCAGGGAGCTGGTGTCGCGCATCTCGGGCTTCATGCTGCGACGCACGGCGGAGGTGAACGCGCGGTTCCTGCCCCCGCTCTCCGTCTACATCGTGTTCTGCCGCCCCAGCGAGCTCCAGCTGCGGGAGTACCGCCGCGTGCTCCAGTCCACCGCAGTCCACACCCTGCTCTCCAACGGGCCTGGGGACCAGGTACGCGTGAGTGTGTTTCTTGTTTTGCATGCTGTGTGTGTGTGTGTGTGTTTGTTGGGGAGGGATTGTGGTGGGGACCCTTGTAAAAGCAAGGATGGAGGACGCGGCACAGGTGGCCGCGGGCGGACGCAGCTGCATCACCCTGTGACAGTCCTTGATACATGGCAGCCTCCCATGCCCCTCATTCTTCCAACCACTCCACAATCCCTGTGTAATCGCTGCGCCAGGCCCTGGCGGTGCTGTCCAGCCTGCGCAAGATCTGCAACCACCCCTGCTTGGCGCCCGACCCCGACAGGGACGCAGGCCTAACCCCCGACTCCCCGCCCCGCCCCGCCGACTCTGGCAAGCTGGCGGCGCTGGACGCCATGCTGGCGGCGGCGCTGGCGGACCCCGGGGAGCGCGCGGTGGTGGTGTCCCAGTCCACGGCCGCGCTCGACCTGATCGGCGCGCTGTGCGCGACGCGCGGCTGGCCCTGCCAGCGCCTGGACGGCGCCACCGACCCCGCCCGCCGCGTGGACATGGTGGACGCCTTCAACCGCCACGGCGTCGGCCGCGTGTTCCTGCTGTCCACCACGGCGGGCGGGGCGGGGCTGAACCTTGTGGGCGCTGCGCGCCTCTTCCTGTTTGATTCCCACTGGTGCGCTGATGGATTTTTTTTGGGGGTTGGAGGGGGGGTTGAGAGGGGCTGGGGGAGGTGATGTGGATGGGTGAAGACAACAACAGAGGAAAGGAAACGAGGAGAGCAAGGGGGCGTGGCGGCATGCTGGACGGGTGGTCGTGCTCTTGGCAGTTTTGAGGGGCAGTGTGCAAACGAAAAGCCTGCTGCATGGACGCTCCATGCTGTTCCCTGATTGGGCGATGCGTCCGAGTCGAGCAGTGCACCGACAACTGCTCCGTCCTGACGGTGGCACACGCCCCACCCCTGGCCAGGAATCCGGCCATGGACCGGCAGGCGATGGCCCGCATCTGGAGGGACGGCCAGAAGAAGGCGTGCACCGTGTACCGCCTGCTCACCACAGGTCGGCGAGGGGTGTGGCGGTGGGAGGTTTGGGGCGGCTGAATGCTGAGGTTTGAGTGGCTGCGGACCACTGGGTTGATGTCCCCAGGTTTGATGTGGGACCTTCCGCAAGAGGTATCCAATAGACTCGCCGGCGGTATGGCCCAGGCACTGCCCCCAGGCACGCCCATGGAATATCTGCGCCTGCCATCACACACTAAGTTCCCCTCACTCCTGCCTGTCACATCGCTCCACGCCAAACACGAAACCCCACCCAAGCCAGGCACGATCGACGAGAAGATGTACCAGCGGCAGCGCATGAAGGGCGACATGGCGCGGGGCGTGCAGGGCGGGGCGGCCGGCGGCGCGGGCGGCGGCGGGCGGGGCCCCGAGGGCGCGCAGTTCTCGCGGGAGGAGCTGCGCGAGCTCTTCGTGCTCAAGCCCGGCACGGACTGCGAGACGCGCGATCTGCTGCAGGCGACCGGCGCGGCGTTCGCCGACGGCGGGCCGACCTGCGCCGACCCCGCCATCTGCGCGGCGGCCGGGGCGGGGCTGGTGTCCTTCGTGCACCTCGAGTCAGAGCAGGGGGGCGGGGCCTAGATGCGGGCTGGCTGGCTGGCTGGCGGGGGGATGTACTGCGACTCGAGGGCACCTTTCCCATGGAGACCGACGGCGAGCGCATGGCTGCCTGCCCACGACCTCGCTGCCGCTCTCTGTACACTCTCCACTGCGTCCCGGCCCCTGCCATGGGACGGGGCATGCGGCATTGCAGCAGAGGCACACATTGTTTGGGCGAGGCGCCAGGGACCGCCATGGACGGGCAAAGGGGAGGGGGTGTCGCAAATAGCAACAGCTGCATCTTGGCAGCTTGGCCTGGGCTCGCTCCAGAGACACAGGGACTGAAATGGACATCGGCCCCTCAGTCGTCGCGCTTGTCGAGCACCGCTCCCGCTGCCGCCACCCAGGCAGCGGTCTGAGGGATGGAGTTGAGCAAGGGATGGGTCAGGCTGAGGCATGAAAAGTGCGGCGCAGACACGCAAGGTCCATTGCTGCAGGCCACCACTCTTTCATGCCCCAGCAGCATGATGCAAGCTACTGGCGGAGTGAAACACCATGCACACCCTCAGTCGCCCAGTGCACGCCGTTTGGTCAGCAGAGTATTCCTCAGCCACCTGCAGTAGCAGCGCAGCTCCCCACCCCACCACACCCCACACCGCACACAGCAAAGGAACACAGCATATACTCCCATCACCTGCAGGACGCGTGGGAGGCCGGCGGAGAGGAGGGGCAGGTGCGCCAGAGTCTCCAGGATGACCGCCCCCACGCCAACCACCACCAGCACGGAGTTGAGGGGGAGCCGCGGCAGCTCGCCCGCCCCCGCCTGCCACCCCGCGCCGCTGCTGCCGGCGTTGCTGGTGTCCACCACCGCCAGGGCGGTGGGGATGACGCGGGTGAAGGGCACGCGCAGCGACCCACGCGCGTCCCCCGCCTTCTCCGCTGCCAGGACGGTGCCACGGGGTGCCAGCGTCTTGGGGTCCACGGCGGGGGAGGAGAGCACGATGGACATGAGGTAGGCCACGCCCGCCGCCGCGCCCAGCGGCTCCACCGCCAGGTTGATCAGGGAGCCGAGCAGGGGCGTGGCATGGACCACGGTGTCGGCGGCCACGGCGGCCGCCACCGGCACCACGCCGGCGGGGGTCTGCAGCCGCGCCAGCTCCGCGTCGCGGTCCTCGGAGGTGGCCCAGGACACCGCGGTGACCGCCGCCGCGGCCGCAGAGCTGGCCACCAGGTCGAACAGGATGAAGGCCTGGGCCGGAGTGGGCCGGGCCCGGGGCGAGGGGCGGAGCCGGCTCCTCCCTGATTGGATGTGGAGGGTGGGGAGGGGAAGGGGTGAAGAGGGGAGGGGGTGGGGCCGGTGCATTGGGTGGGGGGGTGGCATTGCACCGAGTCTCCCTCAGGCCCGACCTTGGAAGAGGAGCGTGGGCGACGGCCGAGAGATGAGGGAGGCAGACACGGACGCCATGGCTCTGCCTTGTCGAGCACAGGTGAGCAGGGAATGCGAGGGCGATCGACTACACCCCTCCACGAGCCAGTTCAGGCCAATACATGCCCAGCTCCGGCGCCCGATGTCCGACACCCTGGAAATCTGAAGGATAAGGATGGGGTGTATCTTCCGGGTTTGATATACCCTAATTTATTGCATCCCGTCATCCGATCTCGAGGAGGATAACCCGTGGGACCGGGGTTCGAGTCCCCGTATGCGAATGTTCCAAACGATACGATCGCATATCGTATAGGTGGTTAGTATACACGGCTCTCACGCCTCGGCAAAAACCTCTCTTTTGCCTTTTGCCATGAGATACTATCGTGACTTGACAACCCAAGTATGTGGGTGGGGGTGCCTTCGTGAGGAAATGGCCGGGGTTGGATCTCCAATGGGGAGGTGGCCCAGGAACACGCCACCTCTTTCTCTGAGTAGAATGTCCACTAGAGGTGAGTCAGTGGTCCTCAGCCCACCATTCTCAAGTTCATGTGGCACTTGTTGGTTGCCACAATATGAAAGACGCTCAAAACATAACTCCGCCTCATGCTTGAATATCCTAGGAAGTGAGGATTTTCGAGTCAGATGCTTACTCAACAGGTCCAGATCAACCTTGATTTTCTACAAGCTGAAGCAAGGCACAGTTCGTATTGTGAGAGTAGGTGCCCTCGGCGGTTGGGTTGTGCATACAGTGCATCAGAACAACATGTGTCGCAGATGTGACCTTATGACTGTTGTAGTGATTTCAGAGCATACATCCGATCATTTTCCACCACATTGACTCTGGCGAGCTTCATGACTACAAAATCCAAGATGAATATTAACCTACATAGTAGGCAAGAAATGGCTCTCACACCATGACTCAGTTTGGCATTCAGTTTGTCCCGAAAGGGGCGCAGGTTCGAATCCTGCCGTTGTCGATTCCGCTTGACAACGTGGCCGAGTGGTTAAGGCGCAAGCCTGCTAATTTCCTTTTGCTTTTGGAGTGTGTGAAAGTATTCAAGACTGCTACAGATACCAGGTACACCTTTGCATCAGGAAAAACAATGCAAGTGATTCAACGAGTGCTTGTGCCATCCTGATTGCACCTGGAGGAGCTAGCGCCACCCTTCCAGACTGGACACATGGCAGGAACAGTGGGTGGCCAGTCTGCATGCTTTACCCGTTCCAGATGAGCATAAAGGCCGTTTCTGGGCCCAGTTTTAACCACAAAAAGGAGAATAGCAGCACGAAACCCCAATATTCCATGTTTCTTGTTCCTTCCGGGGTGTGTGGTCCTTCAGCTCCGGCCTTATGCAGTGAGCTCACACGCGACACCACATGACGCCCTTCCTTTACGAGCACATTTTGCTACATTCCATGCGATAAAAGGGGAGTTATAATCCTGCTGTGTGCTGTGCCATTGGCGTGCGCTTGGTGCGGGCCCCCCCTCCACTTGGTCGACGCCATGAGGGCAGTGAGTGTGAGCGCCCTCCAGCATGTGGACTGCCCCCCATCGACATCGTACAGGCCACTGGCCCGCCCATCCCTGGTGCATAGGTGCGACCATGACCCGTTGGAGGGTGGTCGGGGAGGGCACCCTCGACCGCATTTTGCTCAGCGCCAGTCGCGATGCTCATGTCTCCCTCAGTCCCTCCTCCCACGACCCCCCTTCCCTCCCTCACGCCCGAGCTCAGATACAACGTCCACCGGCCCTGCGCTGCCCAGTCCTGGCAGCGGACGTCCACCTCCCGCGCGGTGGCCACCCCCGACCGCGCCACGGAGGTCCCCCCCCCCACTCTGCGCAGCCCCGGCCCCGCCCGGCCCATCCCCGGCTACGACCCCGACACGGACCGGGTGGGGGTCCTGCTCCTAAACCTGGGCGGGCCCGAGACCCTGGAGGACGTGCGCCCCTTCCTGTACAACCTGTTTGCCGACCCTGACATCATCCGCCTGCCGCCCGCGGCGCGCTGGCTGCAGCCCGCCGTGGCCTGGCTGATCAGCACGCTGCGCGCGCCCAAGTCGCGGCGCGGCTACGCGGCCATCGGCGGCGGGTCCCCCCTCCGCGCCATCACCCAGGAGCAGGCCGACGCGCTGGCGGGGGCGCTGGCGGACCGCGCGGTGCCCGCCCGCGCCTATGTGGCCATGCGCTACTGGGCGCCTACCACGGAGCAGGCGGTGGCAGCCCTGAAGGCCGACCGCATCAACAAGCTGGTGGTGCTGCCGCTGTACCCGCAGTTCTCCGTCTCCACCTCCGGCTCCTCCCTGCGCCTGCTGGAGCGCTTGCTGCGCGAGGACGCGCAGCTGGCAGCAGCGCGCCACGTGGTCATCCCCTCCTGGTACGCGCGCCCCGGCTACGTCGCCGCCTCCTGCGACCTCATCCAGGCCGAGCTGGCGCGCTTCCCGGCCGAGGCCGACGGCGTGGAAATCTTCTTCTCCGCCCACGGCGTGCCCCAGTCCTACGTCGACGAGGGTGGGTGGAATCAGGGGGAGGATGGGGGCAGTGGGCCTGGGTGGATGGAGGGGTATGGAGCATCAAGGGAGTAGGGAGTTGCAATGGGGATGGGGCGAGGGTGGGCGGCCAACCCTCTGGGTGCATGCCCATGTGCACGGATGCTCTTGAATTCCGGTCCTCTTTCCCTCATTCCATCGGCTTGCATCCCAGCCCCCCTTGCCCCACTCCTCCTGTCCTCACCAACACCTCCAGGCGACCCGTACAAGGAGGAAATGGAGCAGTGCGTGGCGCTCATCATGACGGAGCTGGCGGCGCGGGGGGTGGCGCAACACGCACACGCTGGCCTACCAGTCGCGGGTGGGGCCGGTGCAGTGGCTGCGCCCCTACACCGACGACGCCATCCGGTACTTGGGCGAGCGCCGCGTGCGTGGCCTTCTGGCGGTGCCCATCTCCTTTGTGTCGGAGCACATCGAGACGCTAGAGGAGATTGACATGGAGTACAGGTGTGTGT